CTGTCCGTCAGCCAGACTTGACCTCCCTGAGCCTCACGGCATGGTGAATTCAGTGACTGTCGATGCTGACTCGGAACCGACAACAACTCGGACACTTGGTACTTATACTTATGGAACCAAGACGTTGCTTACTTCCTCGGGTCTGATAGACTTTGCCTCGGGATCAAGTACTCTAGACCCGGACATTCAGAGAATTCTTGAATCTGCTCTACGACTGTCAACACAGAAATCTTATGCAGCAAAGTGGTGCCGATTCTCATCCTTCGCTGAATCCCATTCGTTTGCTCCGGAATCGGGTTCAGTCGAAAATATACTACACTTTCTTCTGCAGCTACATCATTCAGGATTTAAACCTTCGTCTGTTAAGGTTTACACAGCGGTGATCTCGCATTACCGTGGTGCGATACAAGGTTCATTGGTTTTTTCACAGCCACTTATTAGGAGATTCCTCAAAGGGCTACAGAACCTTCATCCTTCAATTTGACCTGTTATGCCTACTTGGAGTATTTCAGTGGTACTTCAAGTGCTTACCAGAGCCCCATTTGAACCTCTGACAACTGTTGACCTACGTCTTGTATCCTGGAAGATGGCCTTTCTTGTAGCCGTCACGTCAGCTCGGAGAGCTAGTGAATTTTGTGCTCTTCGGGTGGATCCACCTTACTTGAATTTCCATAAGGAAAAAGTGGTTCTTTGAATGGATTCTACATTTCTACCTAAATTAGTCACTCCGTTCCATATGAATCAGGAAATCGTCTTACCCGCCTTCTTTCCATCACCATCGAACCCAGTTGAAAGATCTTTACATACTCTCGATGTGCGCTGTCGCTTGGCTTTCTATAGATCACACATAGAATCCTTTCGACGTTCGAACAGACTCTTTGTGAAATACTCTGAACTGGACAAGGGCTGTCCTGACACATCACAAAGACTTTCAAAATGGATCATTCAAACTATTGTATTGGCGTATCAGCTTGCCAAGATAGGCTTACCTGTCGTTCCGAGGGGTCACTCCACGAAAGCAGTAGCAGCTTCTTCTGCCTTTGCCACGGGGATCCCGATTCAAGACGTCTGTAAAGCTGCAACCTGGGCTGCTCCATGCACTTTCGCCAGGCATTACCGCCTTGATGTGTGTGCCAGACAGGACTGCTCCTTCGGTAGAGCTGTCCTCTCCGCCATCCTTCAATGATGACACTGCCCTCCTCCGAGTCTGGTAAGCTTGCTACTCACTCATATGTGTGATGCACAGAGGCCACGACAAAGAAAAGCAGGTTGCTTACCTGTAACTGAAGTTCTTTGAATGGCCATCTGTGCATTCACACAACCCACCCACCGGCCCCACTTGGTGTCAGTAAGTGGATTCTTTTGTCGGTACTATGCCTTAATATTTATGGTACCTAACAAACTTATTATAATATATTTCTCTCCCGAAAGGGGGCCGAACGATCGGTCTTTCAAAGACTGGGGAAAATGGCAGACACTCCGCTCTATATATAGTACTGAGGGGGAGGGGAGCGGAGTTTTCCTGCCAAAAACCATTAGCTTTCTAATCTTTCCAGCCTTAGGCACTGCGCAGGCGCAGCACCCATATGTGTGAATGCACAGATGGCCACTCGAAGAACATCAGTTACAGGTAAGCAACCTGCTTTTCCATTCATGGTGAGTAGTTGAACTCCCTTCTCTCTCATCTGCATCTTTAACGAAAAGTGTGACTCTGCCGCCTGTTCTGTTGCCTGTCTTCTGTTCGAGCAGGTTCTGTCCTGCAGCTCTTGCATTCCTTTCATGGGGTCGTCCCACCAAGCTTCAGTTTTGCCTGTCAGGTCATAGCCGCCCTCATGTACCAAGAGATCGTGTTGCTTGTTTCCCATACTTTGGGCATCAGTGTGTAGACATGGCTTCTTTCCTACACTTTTGGGAGGCTGGGGTTCAGCCCAGCTCGAGTTTCTTTCCCTGCTGCACCACACAACCCTTTGTCAGTTGAAGCTGCACCCAAATTTTCCTCTCCCTCCTCCGTTCAAAGCCCTCCTGGTAAACTGCTTCGTACTGCAGCCGAGTACGTCCTTTCCTTCCTTGCCAGCAGTCCGTCTTCCAGGAAACTTCACCCGTGGTTCCAGAATCCAAATCTCCCATGGCTGCACCTCTCTCTCTCTCTCTCTCTCTCTCTCTCTCTCTCTCTCTCT